TGCAAGTAGATAATGCTTCAATCGATCAAGTGAAAACATTTATATACTAGGGAATAATGATGAATGACCAATGGGATCCTTAACAAGAAATAAAATGCCGTACCGAACAAGCAAGACAAGATTTTATCAAATTTAAACCGCCAATATGTAACCGCAATGTTTCCTTCAATCTCCGCTACAGGATGGTTAAATGCTATGTATGATCCATATTGTTATACGGCATGGAAACATGGACGTTAAGAGTACCTTCCGTTAATAAGTTGGAGGCCTTCGAAATGTGGGCGTTGCGAAGTATGTTCCGCATACCATGGACAGATAGGGTGAGAAACGAGAAAGTCTTAAGAAAGGCAAACACTGAGAAAGTACTTAGTTTGATCAAGGTACGAAAAATTGGATACCTCGGCCATATTCCGAGAGGAAAAAAATACGCAATCCCTCAACTAATCATCCAGGGAAAAATTGAAGGCAAGAAAGGAGTAGGTCGCAAACAAATGTGGTGGCTACGGAACATAAATAAATAAATAAATGATAGCTTTATTACCCAACAGTTTCCCATTTCTAGGGTAAAAATTTAAGATACATTTTTAATTAGTATAAAATCATCAGTAGGTGATACAAAAATATCAAGTAAAAAAATAAGTGTAAAAACTAAGTAGGTGTAAAACAAAATAAAGAGTGAGAGCAATATAATTAAACAAATCACTATGTAAATAAGAAAAAAAGTACACACAAAAAAAATTAACAATCCAAGTTACTCCATAAATCAGTGCGCTATCAATCAGATGATTAATTGAGCATGAAAAAATATCACAACGGTTGCATATTTTGTTATAATTATCGCACATAATATAAATGGGTGACTTCAGTAACATATTTGTTCTCGCACGTGGACAAGTAATCACGATAGTCGACCTGGAAGTAATTTTTGGCACATTAAATCTAATTTGACCTAATATATCACTGCAGTCAATACAGTTGTGTAACAACTTATATAAAAATGAAACCGAAAATATAATTCTTCTTAACTCTAAACTTACAATATTAAACCTGTTACATAACAAATCGTAATCATAACCATGTACGGGATATACTCCATCAACCTTAAATGCTAAATATTTTAAAAGTTTCCGTTGTACCTTTTCAATCTATTGCGCATATAACATTTATTAATGAGATACCAAATTAAACTACAATATTCTAGTTTTGTTAGCACTAGCGATATATACAGCAGTTTAATCGGTCTTATATCGCTAAAATTTCTACAGTTTCTGATGATAAAACCGTACATTTTCATAGCATCGGATACTTTCTGCTCAATATGATTGTTAAAGGTTAATTTTAAATCAAATATAACTTCTAAATCTTTAATGCTATTACATTCTGTGTATTCAAGATCTGACCCCTGAATTACATAATTAAAATCAACATTTTTTTTCCTTTCTAGAATAACTTACTACTTTACACTTATTGACATTCAGAAAAAGTTTGTTTTTTATACACCACGTATGTATATAATTTAGATCGTTCTGTAAATCTATTAAGTTTAATTTCACAGTATATTTTAAGATCATCCGCAAAACATAATTTTCTTTTATTGATACCTAAAAATAAATCATTGATATATAAAAGGAACAACAATGGACCTAAATTTGATCCCTGTGGAACACCGGATGTAGTGAAGATCAATTCTGATATGACACCATTATAGGATACAAATTGGTTCCTACCTATTAAATAGCTTTCAAGTAACTTTAAGATATTTCCAGCAAATCCCAAATTTGATAATTTAAAGAGAAGGTATTTGTGATCAACATTATCAAAGGCTTTAGAAAAATCAGTATATATCACATCTATTTGACCTTAAACATCCAAAACATCTGAAATATATTGAGTTATTACAGCTAAGTTTGATACAGTAGAGCGTTTATCTATAAAGCCATGTTGATAAGGTGATATCCATCCCCTAACAGAAGGGTAAATACGATTATATAGAGTTACTTTGAAAACCTTTGAAAAATTGGATAACAAAGATACCGGTCTGTAACTGAAGATACATCAGATTTCGTTCCGTTTTTGAATACAGGGCATATTTTTGCATTTTTCCACAATTTGGGATAAGTTCCGGTTTTTTATGATAAGTTAAACAATTTTTGAAGTGGCTTTACAAATACCCGAGAACAATCTTTCACTAAAAATGCTGGAAATAAAGAACTGGGCAGGGCATAAATACCACTGGCGATCTTTTGCATGCCGCAAAAGACAGACGTCAGGCCTTAAGATAATTCGCCAACGCACTATAGATGCACGGCACTATAAGAAGCTAGCTAGTCAAATTGAAAAACAAAATAAAAAATTAAGCACAAGGTTTGCGACTAGCGCATATCGTGATTATTGATACAAGGTGCATCATGAAGTGATTCCAGCAAAAAATAGACTCCTATAGAAAATGTCTATTATGGTCTGCTTTTCGACAGATTCCATCTAAACTAAACTAATAAAATTAATCTCGATGTTCGTTAAGTATTTTTACGATATAAAATTTTAATTACCTATTTATCTTTTAACTTAAACAAAAAATTATATGTTTTCGATTTATAGCAGAATTTTAATTTATCAAAATACGATGTAATTATTTTCTTAGCAAGTTACCATTCTTCTTAGCTATTACCATGGATATTTGTGCCAGAGCTGCAAGGAGCCAAAGAGCTACATATGTCTCTGTACTAATTCATCGCCATTTATGTCTTTATCCTTGTATTTCCACTGATCATGATGACTGTTAAGGTCGTCTACATAAACGGCTGAATGGGGTTAAGCCTTTATAACATAACTTGGCCATTGCTTACCTGAAGGATTATAGATATAAGTGATAGTCTTCCTCCTCCTAAGTGTCTTCTCTGTTGAGGTTGACGATCAATACGGCAAATTTCTCTCTGTTCTGGGCTTGATAAATTAATTTATTTCCTCTTGTGTGGGTCCAATCTCTGATGTTTCGTAGCCAAGATTTTTTCTTTCGCTCTATGTCCCTTTTATCTTCAATCTTACTTTCTAATATTACCTGGAGCTGCTCAAATTCCCTATGGCGCATTATGTGTCCTAGATATGATGTCTTTTTAATTTTGACAGTATTGACCAGATGAGGGAGTCTGTTCATTACTTCTTCATTCGTAGTTCTGCTGGTCCAGCTTATTCTTAACATTCAGCGGAACATCGACATTTCAAATGAATTTAATTTGTTGATGTCATACTGTTTTAATGTCCAGGTCTGACAGCCATATAGTAATAGGGACCACACTTCAGTGTTCTCAATCTTATTGAGACTGATAGCTTGGGGTTACACAGCATTTTAAGCAAATTCATGAAACCAGATCTTGGTTTTTCAATGCGTCTTCTAATTTCTTTTGAGTGGTCTAGTTGACTATTTAGCTCTCTGCACAGGTATATGAAGCTTTGGGAACTCTGAAGGGTGATACCATTTATTTCTGTGTTAGGTGTAACTTGTTCATGGGGGATTTTGTGGAATATCAGAATTTTGGTTTTGGAAAAGTTAGCTTTTCTGGGCACTCAACTTTCACAGTCACAGCTGGGCACCAAGCCTGATAATATGTTCATACATATTTTTAGTTGGTCTTCTGTTTCTGCTAATACTACGGTGTCATCGGCATATCTTATATTGTTAATGACCATTCCATTGACTCTAGCACCTTCAAGAGAAGCTCTAATTTATGTTCGGCATATACATTAAATAATAGGGGGGACAAAATGCTTGACGCATTCCTCGTTCTATGTTGACGTACTTGGTGTTTTTGTTCTCTGTTCGAACGCATCCTGTGTGGTTCCAGTATGTATTACTTATGATAGCTTTGTCGTGTCCGTCCTACTTTTGTTTAATGCGGTCGAAGGCCTTTCTATAATCGACAAAGCACACATACAGCCGTGTTTGAACCTCAAGATACCTTTCTGCCATCAGTGTCAATCCCATAATTGCTTCACTAGTGCCTGTACCCTTTCTAAAACCATATTAAGAACGGCTCAGGCATTTTTCACACTTATTATGAATTCGGTTAAAAATTATTCGCATAAAAATCTTAGCGGCATGACTCATTAGGCATATGATAGCATTAGGCTTTAGGAAGAAATTTGTGTATCCCGGTATTCTCTTTCCTCGACTTTTTCTGGTGACACTTCTTGAGAGTGACATTTTCTGCAATTTTTGAAGCAATAACAATTCTCAAAATTCTTAACAATATTATGAACTGATTGTACGCAAGGAATTGGTCTCTCCTCAAAAAAACATACAATAAATCTACACACTGTTTTCCAGAATTACCATTATAAAACCATTTTATTATTACAACCACTGTATAATGACAAATTATTGGTGACGGGACAACGGAGTTTCGTGGAAAGTCGACAGCGCGCAGTGTTGCCATTTATAGTGTGTATATCTAATTTAAGACTTAACGTACGGTATGTTTGTTGAACGGTATAGCACTCAACAGTTTGTAACCTGGTATTTTTCCCCTTTTTTGGAGATCATGTTCTGTAGCACAGTTGATTTTCTAAATTGCGACTAAATCTATATCTTTATTTAGTATCCTTGATAGATACTGGATTTTGGCATAGCATATGCTAGCTAATTAATGTGATAAATTCTACAGATCCAAAACTAAAGGTCCAATTTTTCAAGTGGGAGAGCCCTGAAAAGAGTCTGTTGGTAAGGTTTCAGTCATGTTTTTGTATATCGAGTACAGGAGATACCAAGATTGTTTGATCGCCAGTATGTGCTACATACTTGACCAGCACTACACGCTTAGAGGCATTGAAAAAAGGCCGTGGGAAAAAACGTGAGGTGTCTGGTATGTTCTTATTGACGCATAATATTAAACTAATGCAATAGTACCTATATATATATATATATATATATATATATATATATATATATATATATATATATATATATATATATATATAAGTAGGCAACCAAAGTAAAATAAAACCAATGTAAAAATAGATCTTTATTTTAACTAAATCTAAGAATGAGTTGAACAGAAGAAAATATATAAACATATAAAAGATAGGAACCGGCACGATCCATTTACTCTCCAATACTTAAGGTAAGTCTTTCAATCTGCTCACTTAATTTTTGTATAGCATAGTACTTTCTATTGTAGTCAGGTGGCGTCATTATAAAAACCCTCCGCATCTGATCAATTTTACCGTCGATGGATTTGTCCAATATGCAAGATACTAGCAGACTCTCGACATCTTCTTCGTTTATTCCCAATTCTTTACTGATAAACTCCAGTTTTATATTTCGGTATGGTTTTAGTATAGCAAGAAGCGCCTTTGTTCGGACACGGGTAAGCAGATCTGAGATACTTTCGTGAATAAAAGGATCAGCCATCAAACTCTCTTTGTTTTCCTGAAACATACAATTCACAAATCAAATTTGTCATTAATTGTTCACAAGATATATTAATTTATATGTATATAAATAAATCAATATAACGAAATAGTGAAAGAATTCGATCTAGAAGCTAGAAGTAAGCTAGAATTCGATCAAGTAAGCCTAAAGCAACTTATTTTAATTTCGCAAGACTAATAACTTACAGGTCTTTATGGATCTGATACAAGTTAACCATAAATTTGACATATTGTACATTTATTTCCTAAAGGAACTATGTCCAAGTTTCAAGACTCCGCGCCACTATATCCCTTCACGTTCTCTTTCTTCCTCCTCTAGCCATACAACATTCTGTAGGTCTGTCGTCTTGTAGTGCATGTCCATTGCGCATGTGGTCGTTCATCATGATAATATTTACTTTGTTTAAAGTTACTCAAAACAGGCCTACAGCCGTCATATTGAACAAAGTTCTTAGGTTATGGAGCCAGAACATACCAAATATACTTCGACTTCCCGGGTATCTCTTACTAAATAGTTCTCTTTCATTAACCTACTTAAGTAAACCATATCTTATCATTATTTTTAATAATGTAACCAAAGTACTCAAATTTCCGTTTTGTGACAAGCACTTTATGTTCTTTTTTCATTCTGCGAAGAACTTCAGAATTCGTCACTAGATCAAACCATGAGATCCGCAGTATTCGTCTGTAGTACCATATCTCAAAAGCCTTCAGTTTCTTCATAGATAACTCTGACGAAGTCCAATCTAAATACAAAAAACCCGAAATATGTAACATTTAGAGAGTCAACAATTTGTTGTTAGTCATGGGTCCCTTTTTATATTTCATCTTCTTTCCTTTAAGTTCGAAACTTTCATTATTTGTAATTTCCTCGTTTTCCATTATTACTGATTACACTTTTTATTTGTTGTCACTTGTCATTTGAAGCAGGCTTTCAGAAAAAGCTAAAAACATCATCATCATCAATGGTGCTACAGCCCTATGAAAGAGCCTCGACCTTCCCAAGTCTATTACGCCAGGCAGTCCTATCCATTGCCAACCGTTGCCAGTTTGCTGCGCCTATCTTTCTACCATCCTCATCTACACCATCCTTCCATCTGAGTTTTGGCCTACCCCTTTTTCTACTTCCCACGGGTTGTGACATAAGGATTCTTCTAGGAGGGTTGTTCTGCTGTGATCTGGCTAGATGTCCTGCCCATCTTAGTCTTCCTATTCTTATAAGAGATACTACGTCTTTACCACCAAATATTTGTTTATATCTGTGGTATACCTCGTAGTTGTATATCCTCCTCCAAACACCATTTTCACAGATGCCACCAAATATTCCTCTCAGGATCCTTCGTTCAAATATAAGCAGGTCTTCGTCTGCCTTGGTCCATGTCTCCGATCCATATGTCAACACTGGCTGTATAAGGGTTGTTAAAAACATCATTAGTATTTAATAATCTGACCGCAGCGTACGACACCCTGTGGAGACAGCGACTAGTCTACAGGATTTTTTAGCAACTGCAAACTTAATCAACGTGACACTGTCTAGTACATTATCAAAAAACTTGTAAAATAAAAAAAAATAACCTACCCCAAGGATCTGTTCTGGCTCCACTACTTTTCAAATTGTATATAGCAGATATAACAACAACCAAAGCTGAAAAGTTTGGAATGCAGACGATTGGGCTATAGCCACGTAATACCGAGCTCCGAAATACACCGAGACTGTACTAACAAATGACTTGATGATAATAACAAAATATCTCCGAGAATGAAGACCACCTAGTCCTATAGACCAGATGTTTCCACCTGAATAATAAATCAGCAGACGAGTAGCTCACGATATACCTTAATGGTAAAGAGCTACCTTATAATAAAGACCCAAAGTACCTGAGCATTACACTTGATAGAACCTTGTCTTACAAACAACGTCTTTCCAACACTGCCGCAAAAATCCGTACCAGAAACATCATCATCCAAAAATTATGCGATACTAGAAGGGTTCTAATGCATCTATACTGCGCAGCTCGCTTTGGGACTTGTTTACTCGGCAGTGGAATATTGTTCTCCAGTGTTGTTAAATAGCATTCACACAAAGAAGGTGGATGTAAAACCAAACCAAACAATGGGAATCATTTTAGGAACTATAAAATCAACACTACGTACTGCCCTCGTGAGGGAGAATCAAATACTACAGAACAACCTGCAACTCACTATCCACGCTCTAAGTAGAGGAATTGACCAAAATAAATTGCACTTCAGACTTCCAGCTCTTAGGTCAGCACCAAGGACTTAATAAAAATTCCTTTTCTCTTGCTGAACGCTGGAAAAAAGACTGGAAAGAACCCCTTCCACAACCCAACAACTTAGTGGTACCAATAAGCAAGCCTTCAGATTTAGATCTGCCTCGAAAAGCTTGGACTACTCTGAACATATAATCAGAATGGAGCATGGATGCTGTGCAGACTCTTTGTTCAAATGGGGTAGTGCTTCTTCCCCAGAATGTTACTGCGGCGCGGAGTGACAAAAAATCCGATATATCATGACAGGATGATCTATCCCTCTGAGATCCTATGCTGGACAAGTGACAGATTTTCTGAACGTGACGCCTGGAGCAATTGATTACATAGCGAACCTGGATATTCAACTATGAGTATTTATAGGTGATTTGTATACGCCGTACGCCTAATAAATGATAAATCCATTATCAAAATTACTCTAGATATCATAGTTCATAGCTATCAGATTCTAACAAGCGCGGGCAGGGCCTAATTGATTTCAAGTCCATTTCCTAAGCCACTGGGACACCGTATTTTGACGTAAGATTGTTCATATACATAATATCTAGTTATCATGGTGTACGAGTAAATGAGCTGTTTCCAATTTTCTCGGAACTGACAGTAAAGCTTCCGGTTTTATAATTTCTCCCACATAACTTTTAATTCTGAATCGTAATCCGCTCTTAGTTTTTCTGTATCTGTTGCAGTTTTTTGGCTGCAATAATCCCTGGAGGGACAGACGAACCGTGCAAAACTAAAGGATCGATTTTTAAAAATTGAATTCTAATATAAAAGAATCAGACATCAAAAAGATACACTTATTACTTCAAAAAATTAAATACCGTGATTTCAAATTTATAATTGCGTGTTATCATTTTATTACGTAGTTGTTAAAGAATTGTAAAAAATGTTGAAATAGTTCTTCAATACATTGACTTACCTGAAAAATTGTTTCAAATTCTTTGATATTATTATTCTGAAAAGCAGAGATTAACTGTGTCATTGCTTTTACTTCCGCGTCATTCTTGTACGGTTTAGCTTCTTGTGAGTCGAATGGATTTATGGCAGAAACCAACAGCATACTAGTAAGTATAAGATACTTCAGGCAGTTGATTCGACGAGGATTGCCAGCTTCATCGTAATTTTTAAAAGCTTCGAAGAAATCTGTGTACGCCTTAAAAATAATTTTCAAGTATATAATAAAATACATTTTGCGTCTTGCATAGATATGAAGTTGTTTTCAATTAAAGTACAGCTTGTTAATGATTAAAGCAAACGTAAAATGTTCAATCTGTTAAAGAAATATGCGTATAGCAATTGTATCTTGGAAAAATGCACATAAACTTAGGGTTAAACAATTATTATAAGATTATTATAAAAGTGAGTGTAAAACTTATTTTCCCGGTTGGACTGTGTAGGATTTAACTGCGAACAATTTTCAACAAAACATGACAGCTTCAATATAAATAAAAAGATGATAACACATATAGGATACATTTTACCTAAAAATTTGACGTTTATATGTGGAACAAATAGCAAGACAACTAAGTGTGAGGATAAAAGAGCACGAATCATATATCAAAAACAGGGCCTTCGATTTAGTTTAAGATAATTTAAAATTTTAATAAATATATACCATTATACATACATCAGAAGTTTTTACTCCATTGTAAGTTTTTTTAACCGTGGTATATATCCAACCACTGCGATTTTCTCTTTTAATTTTTTAATATCTGATCAAGACCATGAAAGTAAATTTAACGGAAGCCCAGATAATAATCTGAGAAATGCAGACGATAAATACTGAAAACCGGAATACTTCAAGATCTATTGGCGCATTAGTAATACAGTCGTAGAAATTAGTGGGCAGTATGGACTATCAGTAAACAAAAATATAGCTAAATTTATACTTATAACAAAATCGAAAAAAAGCAGACTAAAGTTGTACAGATTGTTAAAAAGAAGAAACTGCTCTCCTCATGACACATCATGAAAGATAATAAATTTCAATTGCTTCAACCTATGATGCAGAAAGTAGAAGATCAATAGGAAGAAGAAAAAAGGTTAAAAAATTATCGCGAATGGTTTAACACCACCAATATACCATCTTTTTAGAACAACAGTCTCGCAAATATTTGTCTGATCATTGTTAATCTGCCGTATAAAGACGGCTTGAAGAAGTTTTCAACTGATGGACATTTGTTTCTCAGTCTCCTTTGCCCCAGTTGATTTCATGCGTGCCATCAACATCATGCGTACAATCAAAATTTATAAACAATAACTTAAGGTATGTACAAATGCGTTATTTTCTTCTAGAGGCTAAAATTTGAAATTACGTGATTTTTTTATCAGGATTTTTTTTCTACAAACAAACTTAAATCTTCCTGTTTTTCTTTTGCAGATTTTATCTGCTAATAGCAAAATATTGAAATATGTTAAAAACAGTTACAAACAGATGAGGTGTAAATATTATTGTTAAAGTAGTAAGTCTTAAAAAAAAAACAAGACAAAGAATGTCACAATATTAGATTTGCGTTAATTTGATTTATTTAGAATGCACTCGTCGAGTATTGACTTGAAGATTGCATTACTACCACCGATATACTAATAATGGAGATGTTTGTAACCTCGTCTTCTTTTGCAAGCTAATATTGTAAATAAACGAGGTGTAAATATTCCCGCTTGTATATTATATATGTTCCGAAAGATTTCCGCGGTGAGTACCATTAAACCTAGAGCTAAGATTTATACTATTTCAGGAATTAATATTAAACTCTACAGTCTTCCGGGTTGAACTACTGTCTACTGTCTTACGACACTACTTCACTAATCAATAATCAATGCATTACTGGTGCTGGGAATAGAGGACGGACCATTTATACCGTTGATGGTGACGTGGTTTGGGTGGTTTCGCGTGAGGATTGACGCGAACATTTCTGACAGTAGGATTTTGATTGACGAGTGGAACGGACGGTATTTTCTTTATGAGAGGTCTCCAAGTCGAAGATAACAATATGCCGCCATCTCTTTTATTAAGATAATTTGGCATTTTTTAAATTTCTATGCCTTTCGGATAATTCTTTGTTTATAAAAGCGAATGGGGGCTATGGTTCTAGAAAAATCAATCGTGTAGTGTTGACCTAGACTTGAAATTGAGTCGGAATTGCAAACAAAAATGGAATGTTCATAAATGCTATTTTGGATTCTATAATTTGTTTGGCCTATATAGGGTCGGTGGCAGTCTGCATAAGGAATTTGACAACCTCCGTGTTGTTCATTTGGAATGTTGTCTATTATTGATCGGACAAGAAATAAAAGTTTTCGTTGGGAGATAAATATTGTCTGTATTCCTCTTGATTTTAGAATTCTGTCGATTTTGTCAGTGACACCTTTATGTGAGGAAGAAAATCTTTCGTATGATGAGGGTCTGAGTCTTTGGGTTGAGATTGAGTGGGAGATTAATGTCTGTGGATGCTCCTATTAATGTGATTTTCGCGGTAACCGTTTTGGATGGATGAGGGCTTGTTTTAAACTAGAGAGCTCAGTGGGTCTACTTGCATCATCGCAAAGGCGTATAGAGACAAACGTATTATTGACTGAATTAATTTGGTCACTCTGTTTATCGAAAACTCATACATACCAATCGTTACTTGCATGCCAACGTTATCACAAATAATGTGACAAAAAAAAGCTCAACCGCCCAACTCAACTCAACTCACCAAAACATAAAAACAAACAGAAACAAATTTGATTTTGACAGAACTAAGGTCCTAAAAAGTGAATATAACTGATAAAGAGAGAGTTCCTAGAATCTACAGAAATTAAAAAAATTATAGTGCAATAAGTGATAAAATCATGTCAAAAATTTACACAAGATATATTTCAATTTAATTTAAAATACATATACAAAAGAATATTTTCAGTACACCTATGATGTTTAAAAATAATAGATTGTTTAAAAGATAAATTTTAATTGTGATGTTTAATTGTATACTTAATCGTAACCAACTTTTGCATACTTGGTTAAGTCAAAGATTCTTTTTAAATCATATGTTTTTGATAAAGTGTTTTTGAGTCAATAATATTTGTTGAAAAATGCATGCATATACTGACGAAACAATAAAACAATAAAAATGTCAAAGCATCATAGACCATAGAAAACCTTTTTTTATGAACCTCAGCACAAGAAATTCTACTATATATATATATATATATATATATATATATATATATATATATATATATATATATATATATATATATAGTAGAATTTCTTGAAAAAACTACGACCGTCAATTTATATTAATAAAGTATTCAACTAGTGAAATCCAGAGGTTTATTCGGTCAGTCAGGTTGGCAAAATAAAAAACAGAAGTCAACTACGTCATAAGTTTATAGAAGACGTTTCGCTTTATACTTCTAAAGCTTCATCAGTTCTCTAAAATACAAAGATGACATAGAATTTATAAGAAATACAGATCTAATAATTTATTACTTACAACTCAATATGTAGTATTAAAGATGTTATTGTATATGTACTTAAGTTTACTCATAAATTTAGAACTAACTTAAAAAAAATTAACAGGAACATGCAAAAAATAGTATTCGCAGAAACGAAGATTTACAAAAACTTTAAACGTACATTTGGCTTCATTTAGAGATGGTTCTCCAATGAAGAGAAACAAAACACTGATTTATCGCAATCTATGCTAAACGACGTGACGCGATACCGAAATTTTTTTCCCATACGCACACATAGCAACATATTGGGTACTACGTGGTACAGGAAAGAAATGGCGAGTAACCGGTTCTTAAATTACCACTCTACACACCCAATGAGATACAAACATAACCTTGTACAAGCTCTTAGCTTTAGAGTACACACGTTGACCCATACGCGGTACAAGAGGGAATCTTTGGATTTACTCAAATCCATCCTCATTGATAACTCTTACCCCATATCCGTCATCAACAGATATCTTTTCTCTAAAAGCTACGGTCATTCTATTTCTGAAGCACCTAACGGTGCAATACTAGCCTCCATATCCAATAGCTTACAGACTGACAATTCCCCGTTAACCCCAAAACCAGCCACAAAATATGCTTCTCTTCCATATTTCCCACAAATTACGAACAAGCTTACTAAACTATTCAAAAACTCACCCGTCAAAATATCCCTAAAAAACACTAAAACCATTGGAAAGTTATTCTCCAAGTCCAAAACTCCTCTAAGCTCGTTAGAGCACACTAATGTTGTCTATCAGATCCCCTGTTCTGAATGCAATTCCTGCTATATTGGCCAAACCAGTCGTTCACTTCTAGGGCGTATAACTTCACATAAAAGCGACATTAGATTTTCCAAACCCTCTTGTGCCCTTGCACAACACACCATTTCCACCAAACATCACATTGACTTCTCAAATACTAAAATACTGGCGAAACAAAATAACCATCAAAAACGCTCCTTTACTGAAATGTGTGAGATCCTAAAAAACCCATCTGCAATAAATAAAGGAACCGACATCGACAATTTGAGCCAGGTTTACCACTCTCTCATCTTACGCAATAAATAATAACAATATTCATCATTTAAAATAGCCTTATTTTCCATTCAAAACAATAACATAATCATCCCAGATCTCTAAGTTTCATTAAAACATAAATTACAAAAAAAAATCATATCAAATTTTTCCGTCATACAAATCCACCCGTATAACTAATCTTTCAATGACCCCCGTAGAAGTTCATAATTGTCTCAAACCTTGGAATTTGTTGAACATATGGCCCTTGGGAAAAAAATTTCGGTATCGCGTCACGTCGTTTAGCATAGATTGCGATAAATCAGTGTTTTGTTTGTCTTCATTGGAGAACCATATCTAAATGAAGCCAAATGTACGTTTAAAGTTTAAAACTTAAGTACATATACAATAACATCTTTAATACTACATATTGAGTTGTAAGTAATAAATTATTAGATCTGTATTTCTTATAAACTCTATGTCATCTTTGTATTTTAGAGAACTGATGAAGCTTTAGAAGTATAAAGCGAAACGTCTTATATATATATATATATATATATATATATATATATATATATATATATTATATATATATATATATATATATTTATATTAATAGTACTAAATTATTTCTTTTTTTACCTTCTCATAATCTCCCGATCTTAGATGCATCTTTCCGCCACATTCTCTGATGATACTCATGATAAGGGGATGTGGAATGGCCGAGCGTACTTTAAGGCTACGTTCATACAATTCTTTAAGTTGCTTGTAATTTTTCTGCTGTGTATACATCTGAATTTCCAACGCATATATTTCAAGAAGTTGGGTACCTAAACAATGAAAGAGAAGAAATAATTGTTTATTGTAACCAAAGAATTGGTACGTTAACTATAGCGTTATAGTATAAGAATAACTCACTCCTTTAAAAGGGTCCAGTTAAATTATGTAAGTTTAAGAATATTGAAGATACATAGAATGTATTATATTCTTTTAAATTACACCGTTCAAGTGCAGGACCATACTAAATATCGAATGATAAATTATTTTGTTTATTTCCATTCTTGCTACATTATTAAAGTTGTCAGAGACGAAAATGAGACTGGACCTCTAAAAATCATACGAACAAGCTGAATTTCGCAGGGAATATTAATTTTGGGACTTCAAAATAGATGCAAAAAAGTTTACTACTTTTACCCCAGGGCTTCTTCCTAAAATCCCCCTCGGAGGTGGGTAAAAACGAAAAAAAAAAATGGATTTACCAAGAATCTGTACGCTGTAGAAAAAAATATTTTAAATAAAAAATGTAGCTGAGAAAATTTTGTTAAAACAAGAATGTTTATTAGCACTTTTTGTGTAGAATAAACCGTTCTCTCACAAATAACGCTTGAAGCGACTGTCGGTTACGCGCGCGAAATTAATGTCCAATAAAATTTGTATCAGCTCGACGGTAAAAATTCGATCTTTTGATACAAGTGACTCATCGACAAAAATCAAGATGCGTTTTAAAGGTAAAGAGTTCAGCTTTCGTATGCTGTTCTAGAGTCTAACCTTTAAAACCTATAGTATAAAATTTTAGTTTTGAATTTTGGCAACAATTATGAGGCATTTGAAATATGCCTAAAAAACGCTGGATTTAAACTTTCCCATAACAAACAATCTAAAATATTTAAATTTTTTTTTTTTCAATTACACTAGTACGTTTTTCAAAAGAACCAAACTTCTGCAATAAACTAGACCCAAAAACGTCTTCTTAAATACATTTCTCGTGAGGTGTAATCGTTTGTAATGTAAAACATAAAATTCTGCGTTTTAAATTTATATTTCAAATAACTCATATCTCTGTTGCCACAACTCAAAATTGAAATTTTATGTCAGAAGTTTTAAAGATTGATCTCTATAGTGTTTTTTTATGTATCAGAGAGGAATAAAACAATAAATTATGTATGCAAATCCCTAAACTGTTGATACGGGTGACTCAATGAAAAACAGATATTTGTCAACAAGTTTACAGAAGTATATAGGAAAACAATTTTAAATTGAGTATGACCACCAGGTATAAAGGTTGGAGCAGAATAGAATACAATAGTTGTGAGGGTTACTAATCCCTAAATAAGGTTGCCAGTGTCGGAGTGATGGAGGTTGAACAGGTACTAATGAATTTGCAAGAATTGTAAGATGTTTATTTTATTGGTTATATATATCCAATAAAAGTTTAATAACTACCTACCTATTTGCAAACTAAAGTTTAATTCTTTATATAAAATAAAACGTTTTATTTTATCTGAAATGAGTGCATTCCACGAAGTAAGGGTTTCAACAATCAAACATTTAATTCTTTAATTCCAGGAATCTACGACAGTAATTGACTAGATAATTACCTTCTAAACTTATTCCACAGAAAATGTGATAGTGGGTTTTTCCATTTTGTAGGAAGGTCCAAGTGGCGTATTCAAAATTCTTAACAGTTCACTAAAAGTAGGTACTTCAGTTGCAAGTGCAGTTTATTGTGTATACTAGTGTTATGGAAAATTTGGAAGTGCCGTGTAAACGCCGAAAAATTGGTCCTTTAACAGTTAATGAAAAAACATTAATATTTAATTGTTTTAAATCATTTACAGACAAACGTTTATGTGAAAGTGTTGATGAGACCGTTCAGTTAGTTAGCAGTACACTTGGTGTTGGGAAATCTACGATTTACAGAGTTATTAAAGAAGAGAAATGTGGTAGTTTTCAAATGCCACGTAATGCTCCAGGGAAACCAAAATTTTAAATAGAATATCATTTTAAAGAAGGACTTCGACGGAAAGTGCATGAATTCTTCTTTAGACAAGAATTTCCAACATTGGATAAAGTTCTTGTCTCAGTTCGAGATGATAAGGATTACCCAGAAATGAGTCGAAGTACGTTATGGACACTTTTAAAAGAAATAGGCTTCCGCTGAAAAAAGAATCCCAGAAAGTCTATTTTATTAGAAAGAAGCGATATTGTCATATGGAGAAGACATTTTCTAAGAACCATAAAGGAAATGAGAAACAAAAAAAAAAATATTTTATCTTGATGAAACATGGATCAACGAGGGTCATACACCAAATAAATTTTGGCAGGATGAAACTGTTACAAGTCAGGCACGCTTTTGTAAATAACTTATCTACTGGTTTAAACCCACCATCAGGAAAGGGACGCAGGCTGATAATAGTACACATTGGCAGTTCAGACGGTTTTGTTGAAGGTGGTTTATTAACTTTTGAATCAACTCGTACCGGTGACTACCATGAAGACATGAACGCTGATGTCTTTCAAGAATGGTTCGAACAAATGATAGATCTTCTTCCTAAGAACTGTGTAATAGTAATGGATAATGCAAGTTATCACTCCAGACTTATAGAAGGACTGCCCACAACCAAGTGGTTAAAAAAATACTTGCAGAATTGGCTGAGTTCAAAAAATATTACGTACCATCCCGGATCTATAAGAAAGGAACTTTATTCGTTGTGTGCCCTTTATAAAGAAAAATTTAAAAAATACGAAATTGATGAAATTGCCAAAAATCGTGGAATGACAGTACTTAGATCCCCACCATGTCATTGTGAATTAAACCCGATTGAACTGGTATGGGCACAGATAAAGAGTGAAGTTTCAAGAAAAAATACCACTTTTAAAATTCATGATGTTAAACAGTTGTTTTTGGAGGCCGTAAATAATGTAAAACCTGAAAACTGGGAAAAGGCAGTAAATCACACTATTAAAGAAGAGGAAAAAATGTGGAAGCTGGACAATATTACTGATAAAATGATCGAGACAGTTATTATAATTCTTGGTTCTGAAAGTTCATCTTCTGAATCTGATTTGGATTTGTAACAAGTAGCTGTAAGTTTTATATTAATATTTTTATTCATCTATTTAACATACCTTAGGCGGTTTTAAAAACTCTTTTTCTCTTTTGTAATTTTTAAAAATTAAAAAAAATGTGAATTTTTTAAAACCCTTTTTAATGTAGGCCAGTCAGTTCTAATATAGTGTGTGATAAAAGAGGTCACTTTTGTTTACATACACATAACACTTAATAACACTGAAATAATTCATTTATTTTTTACAATTATTCAAAGTAATTTTTCAATTAATCTTGAGCACGCCCATGGAGTGGTCGGAGATACCAGTTAAAATTATGCTAATTACTCTCTCATTCATAAAAATAAACTATAACAATGAAAATTTTACTACAACTGATCAAGAAAAGTGATCAGTTTTATTGATCTCGAGAGAATCGTAAAAAATGGCAAAAATCGCGCCACGTTTATTTATTAACACATTTATAAAAACTGAGTTTATTCTCGGCAAAATACAAAAACTGCATACAAAGCTTTAACCCATTTTTACCTTTAAAATCTCGATTTTTGTCGATAGGACACTTGGATCAAAAGATATCGAATTTTTACCGTCGAACTGATACAAATTTTATAGAACATTAAATTCGAGCGCATAACTTACATTCAAATTCGACAGTCGCTTCAGGCGTTGTTTCTAAGAGAACGGTTCATTCTACACAAAAAATGAATATAAACATTTTTGTTTAAAATTGTCTCAGCTACATTTCTTATTTGAAACATTTTTTTCTACTTTGTACAGATTCTTGTAAAATCGATTTTTTTGCGTTTTTACTCCCCTGCGAGGGGGGTTTTAGGAAAAAGCCCGGGGGTAAGGGTGGCAAAATTTTTAGCATCTTTTTTGGTGTCCCAAAATTAATATTCTCTGCAAAATTCAGCTTGTTCTTATGATTTATAGGGATCAACGCTCTGACGACTGGACTACATGTTCATATTTCGATTTTATTTAGATAGTTGCTAACTATGAAAACAACTGACACTACAATATTACATTGAGGAAGTTTTTACCAACTTTTACTTCTTCCAACGTTTTTTTTGGTTGATGCAAATCCTCATAGACTACAAGGAAGATATCCTCGATGATATGACAGTGCGGGACTCGAGTGGTGTGCCCATGGACGCTCAAGGTATGTAAGTGCAAGAGTATAGATGAAAACACCCACGAACACAACCGCTAAAACCACCGTTTTTCGGGCGATGCACCCGGAACGAGTTTTTTTTGCGAATAAAATCTCGGGTATCCACCGGTACCTCACGGTTTATGACGATTAAAAAAGTAAACTAAGTAATTAAATAATCAAAAATATTAAAATTAAGGTAACATGATATGTCATAATAACTCTGTTCTTGTATATTTCTTTCGTTGATCTTCTTTTGTTTCATGATTCTCGAGATTCCATCTACAATTTTATTATTTTTATTATTTCTGTCTGGTATCTTTCGGATATTTTTCTAAAAGAAATCAAAAAGAAAAAAGAGGACCAGAGGGAATATATTCAAAAATTTTAAACTTATAAATACAGATAATATACAGGGTGTTCCAAGATGTTTTTAACAGCCTATAGCTCAAGAAGTAATACATATTTTTGTGTACTTTGAGTACTGAAGTGTACTCTGTCTTGTATGGTTGTTAAAAGCTTGGACCATGAAAGTCGGTATAATGAATCGCTTTGAGTCCTTCGTAATGTGCATATACCGAGGTATTCTTAGAATATTCTATATGAATATTCACGTCACAAATGATTTTTTGAGAACTTTTGAGAATAAGGGGAAAACAGAGATAGAAGCTCTCAAAACTAATCTTAGAAGGAAAAATAAAGGAGCGCAGAGGATTTTAGTCGTAGGCAGTGTGTTTAGCCGAAGAACATGAGTGATTGGACAGGACAGCACACAGTTTGCCGACTTTTTGCAATCTCCACTAATATAGAGGGCACTTGAAGGAGAAGATTCTATCAAATGATGTTTGATGTTTTATAAACTGCAAGTTGAATAATTTGAGAGCTTGGTTTAACTGCACTTTTGCTGACCTCTTTAGAGCAGCGGCGTCGAAAGTGCGAATTGCCATGATGGTTGCCAACCTTCTTAGAGGAGATGGCACGTGAAGAAGAAGAAATTGTAAGTAGGTACGTATCATTAGTAACTTCTCTTAATATTTCAAATAAAATTGCAGCTTCAAATAAAGACTTCTAGATATTTATGATATCTGTAAATCAAAATTGTGAATTGTTGAACTGTGCTTCAACATTCTATATATTTTGTTTTGTATGAATTTTATTAGGAATATATTTGGAAAATAAGTTTTACAATAATTGCTACACTTACCTTTGTGGGGATCACACTCATGACTATCAGCAGTAAGAGTGGATTTAAGTTGTCTTAGAATACCAGCCATTTTCCCAAAATCGCCCCTCTCCAAATACACTTTACCCAATTTGGTATTTGTTTTAAACCACAATCTTTCGTTTTTGGCATGTTTTAAAGCTGACAGAGTAATTTCATATAAATCTTGTAGTAATTGTATATCTTGTAAAGCAGATGTGTAATCCAAAATGGAATTAATAGCTTTTTCACCTTGATTTTTAGTCACAGCATTATTTATATATCCTGAAAGCAAAATATCAGCTTAGGATTTAAAATGTAATTCTCAAAACAGTACTCACTAAAATAAAAACTAGCGGATATATCTTTATACCATCTCGTGTCACGATACTTGTCCAAGCTAATATTCAAAAACCACTGAACCGATTGCTATAAAATTTTGTGAAAGTGTATTTGTTGGTCCAACTTAGGAGAAAGGATATTTTTATCCCGCTGAATGGCCCTTACTTTTTTAAATTGTAAATTCAAAATGTTTTATACGACTTCACCTATACAGTTTTAGTATTAATTACTATTTAAGTGGGAATAAGCCACAATTAAAGATAAAAATACGTTTATTGACGTTTCAATTTCCACTTCGGATATCGTTCTCAAAATACAAACAGTAAATTAAACAAATTTTGTTTTTTGTTACATAGTGAAAAATCTTCCAATAATTTAATTTTATCTGACTCATTTATATTGACAATTCAGACATACATTATGCATTTTAAAGTAGACGACTTTAAAATGATATTGCCAATATTGTTGAGTTGAGCTCCTGGGACGACTTTACTTATAAGATAATTCATTCGATTACATGAAATCAACTTTAACTTGAGAATATCCGTCAGAAAAAATCATAGCATGTAATTCGTCTTTAAAAAGACAAACACATGACATGATTACAGTAAAATTCTCCTGTTAGTGATTTCCATGGTAAATTATGAGGGAAAAAGCAGGAAAAAAATCTCATAATACTATCCCGACTTGGTAAGTATTTGTTCATGCATTTAGTTTACCTTCAATAAACACAAATTCTGATTTTATATGTTTCGTTATTTAAAAATATAAATGATGTATCCTCTATATGTTACTGACTTACTAATCCTGGTATTTTCTTATTAATAACTTCCTCTTTCAATATTGGTAACCAGATCCTACGAGGAATTTGCGACACAATTGGCCTCATTTAGCATAATTAGAGCCGCTTCTTTGATTTTTCTTTTTTTGCCATCCGTTTCTTTTAGGACTATATTTGAATTATTCCATTGAACAATATGTTCATTATCCCATGCGTGTTTACATATTTGAGATCTATCAGATTCTCTATTTTTAATATAAGATTGATGTTCACTTATTCTAACATTTAATGGCCTTGATGATTCACCTAAATAAAACTGATCGCATTCACAAGGTATTTTATAAATGCATTTCTTTGTCCTTTCTTGTTCATTGTTAGGTTTGGTTTTGGACAAAATAGATCTCAACGTGTTTGTTGTTTTGAATGTTGTTGAAATGTTGAATTGAGATCTATTTTGTCCAAAACCAAACCTAACAATGAACAAGAAAGGACAAAGAAATGCATTTATAAAATACCTTGTGAATGCGATCAGTTTTATTTAGGTGAATCATCAAGGCCATTAAATGTTAGAATAAGTGAACATCAATCTTATATTAAAAATAGAGAATTTGATAGATCTCAAATCTGTAAACACGCATGGGATAATGAACATGGGGTTCAATGGAATAATTCAAATGTAGTCCTAAAGAAAACGGATGGTAAAAAAAGAAAAATCAAAGAAGCGGCTCTAATTATGCTAAATGAGGCCAATTGTGTCGCAAATTCCTCGGCAGAATCTAGTAGAATCTGGTTACCAATATTGAAAGAGGAAGTTATTAATAAGAAAATACCAGTATTAGTAAGTCAGTAACATATAGAGGATACATCATTTATGGTTTTTAAATAACGTAACATATAAAATCAGAATTTTGAGGTTTGTTGAAGGTAAGCTAAATTCACGAACAAATACTTACAATGTCGGGATAGTATTATGAGGTTTTTTTCCTGGTTTTCACTCATAATTTACTATGGAATCACTAACAGGAGAATTTTACTGTCATCATGTCATGTGTTTGTCTTTTTAAAGACGAATTACATGCTATGATTTTTTTCTGACGGATATTCTCAAGTTAAAGTTGATTTCATGTAATCGAATGAACTATCTTATAAGTAAAGTCGTCCCAGGAGCGCAACTCAACAATATTGGCAATATCATTTTAAAGTCGTCTACTTTAAAATGCATAATGTATGTCTGAATTGCCAATATAAATGAGTCAGATAAAATTAAATTATTAGAAGAATTTTTCAATATGTAACAAAACAACAAAATTTGTTTAATTTGCTGTTTGTATTTTGAGAACGATTTCCGAAGTGGAAATTGAAACGTCAATAAACGTATTGTTATCTTTAATTGTGGCTTATTCCCAGTTAGATAGTAATTAATTTAAAATGCCACAAGAAAATAGCTTCAGAACAATATACAGTTTTAGTTTAACGACGTTTATAATGACATTTAACAAACACCATTTTATATTTTTATAACTTTTTTTATAATAAATCGAGAACGACTGAATTGAATTGGCTAATCGGCTGGAGAGAAATCGAGGAATCCCAAGAAGATGGAAGGACTGTGTGGCAAAGGACTTAAAAGAGAAATGTTTAAATGAAGAAGACACGCTGTACAAAAATGAGCGGCGAAGAAAAGTAAGGAACAGCCACCCCTCAAAAAGGAAAAGCTGAGGAGTAATACTAAGAAAAAGACTGTCTTTCGGTTTCTTCCCATTAATACGGCGTTCGCTTTCTTAGATCCTTCAGACCGAATGGAGAAAGTATCTTTTAGATCATATTGATGTCACCAGCATAGTAAAATTGTGACTAGCCAAATAACACTTCTATAATTTTTAAAATAATTACTCTTTGCAAAATTTTGTTTAGAACTAGATACATGCAATAACGTTCTTTTAAGTTCAATAAAAGGTTATTACCTCTTTATCAAAATATATATCAACAGAAAGTTAAAAACAAATTCCTTTAGTGGTGTAAAACATGGGGAGGAAAATCTTGCCACAAAAGCGCGCCACTGATTAAATTTTTCAAAATTTTATTTATGTTAAATAATAACTTTCTTAAAGCATATTGTTCACCGGATTTGAATAAAATATTCACACGTTTTTGATTTATAATAAATATTTAATTTCAAGTTTAAATTTTTAATTCACTGTATCTTAATAACCATCACACATGTTTGTAGGAAATTTTAATCTTAAATTTTAATAACGAATCGTCACCAAAATATTTAATAAGATTTTGAACACATCCTGTCTTTAAAAACCTCAATAGGTACAATTAACGAAAAAAAAAAAATATATAAAATAGGTCAAAGAACAAAATTTGGAGTACGAATGATGTAAGAATGTTTTGAGACAGGCCTGTCTCATGAGAGGGCTGTAGCGACAAATGATGATGATGAAAAGAATAAAATTACGATGAAAACGTTTATTATCAGGTGGTCAAAAATAGCTAAAAAATAAAACTAGCCTAGACAAAATCATTGTGAAAACTGCAGTATGGACGTCAGAAGGTAATATTAGGCTATGATTTCCTCCACTTTCTTTAGTCACAACAAAGTACGTTAACGACTGAGTTGTTCATCACATTATTTACAGTGTGTTTACATTTTTTAAGATACTCCATTGAAATTTAAATGTTAAACGCGGCCTACTGCGAATTCACAAACAGTGTAGTTAGCTATATTGGAAAAAAGTCGTTCCAAATATTATCCTAACCCCACATAGCAAATTTCATGACAAAATTCGCACTTTTAGTTTCATGACAAGTTCGCACTCGTAGCAAAAAACTCTGCGAAGTCACTGAAAACGGTTTATTCTTATTAATCGGTTCCATTATTTCTTTACTATTCACATTTCACTTTTTTAAGGCGAATAGATTGCTTATCTAGTCTAAAACCAATCACACTTCTGAAACCTGAATGAAAACGAGAAAAAATTCAGAGCAGACAAAAATTAGAGTGTGGGAAAACGGATCCATGTTATTCATGTATTGGTAGTAGCGCCTAGCGATAGTATAAGAAAATGCAACTAGAGGTTGAAATCAAATAATGTGAAAGACATGCCAGAATACTGATACACTTTTAAACAGGATCTAAGCAGGAACAGATACAATACCAAAATTCTGGAAATTATTAACAGAATATTCAAACTAAAACGACTTTTTAATAAGACTTTTGAGTCGAGTAGTAAAACAACAAAACAATGAGAATATGAAAGATAAGAAATAATTTCAGTATTAATATCTCTATTAATCTCATAGAATAAAAAAAAACACCTAAACATGTAATAATTTATAAATTTTAAACACTTGATTAACAAACATAAATATGTCCGTTATAGTCATATTTTCAGAAAAAAGAATGTCATTTTAAATCTTTGTTATAACATTAATTTATACTTTCCCACACATCCTACAACCCTTATTAGCCAAGACACAAAATTATCTCAAACAGATACATCTATAAAATCAGAATCCCCCGCCGTGGTCTAGAACACCTCCTTTTATAAACACTTCTCTCCGTAAATTTAATAAACAACAAACAAATCATATCATTTTTCGACAAGCTTTCAAGGATATTGTGAATACATCCCATTATCATACGGTGCTTTATACCGATGCATCCCAAAACGCAGATGGAGTTGGCTGTTCTGCCACTAAAGTTGAAACAGTATTAGGACAATACCGAATATCCAACGAATGTAGCGTGTTTTAGGAGAACTCACTCACTTCAATCAACATCACCTAGTGCAAAAAATACTAGAATCGACCCATCTCCACACTTTCCGAGGAACTTCAATAATAATAATATGGGTGCCTTCTCATATCGACATCCAAGCAAATGAGATGGCTGACAGCGCTGCGAAAGAAGCATCTACATTCAATTTACCCATCTACAACATACAGCTCCAACAAGATATCAAATCAAAATTCAAAAGGAATATCCAAGGCAAGTGGCAGGAATTGTGGATCACAAAAGAAACAAAACTCAGAGAAATACAACCTAACTAACGTTAACAGCTATTTATCCCTACCATCCCTGAACAGAAAAGAGAAGATAGCAATACGAAGATTGAGGATAGGACACAAACGTTTGACACACGGTCATTTTATTTCCTCTACAGACCAACAGTTATGCTCCCACTGCCAACAATATAACCCACAGTTTAAAATAACTTCTGAACTGTTCAAGCCGACTCAAGAGCCTAATAGACTTCTTAAAGACTACAGTTGTTTAACAAAATATAATTTACATAATACCGTTATCACTTTACTATTGTAAACTCTGTATCATAACTATATAGGTATTGTAAACCTTTGCTCCCGTTAAATGACCAAAGATGTCGAGACACATTAATTCGATATAAAAAAACAATTACACTTTCAATTTAAAAAATCTACAAAATAATTTTAGTCTAAGTTTTATCCATTGTATTAAGATTTTTCAATAGTATTATTTCAATACATTAAAACAGTCCATTATTTTTTTACAGGAACCACATAACTACAGACAGGCATTACTGGAAAAATATAGTAAGTTTATTACATTAGTTTTTTTTCTAGTTTATTAATTTCACAATATACAAGTTTAAATCAAATACACATTAACAAACCAAGAGCCATAGCTATATTGGTTTTATGAGTACTACATTAACAATGGTTTTATAAAGCTTAAATAATTTATATTTTAGTTACATAATGTGATTAAGTAATCTATGTTAATACAGAAAGGTTTTTTTCCATTAATTCAAAATATACAATAAAAAATTAAAACAATTCAAATCTGATTCCTGTTAAATAGTTATCAAAAGTAATTGTTTTAGTTCAAAGTAAATCTTTCTAGTCGACTTTCCTTCATATTACTATGTAGCTTATTATAGAAGATCAGATCATGTGAATATATGCTTTTTTGCGTACCAGAAGTTCACTCTTCCTGTACGAAAAGTACCTGTTTGCCTAATATGATAGTCATGTACATCTTTTGTCAGTGTTAGGTTAATATTTGTAAGTAGTTGAGAGAGCTTACATTGTAATGAATACATTGATTTAATATTGAGTATTCTTCTGGGGATGTATAGCTCTTACATTGAATGAAGGCGTAGCAGTGAAAAAACATATTTAATAGCCCAGTTCTGTAATATCGTAAAAGGATGAAGCCGTTTGTGATTCGTATTACCCTATATGATAGTTAAATAAGACATATGTGAGTTTATTACAGAATAATACACCATTTTACAATGAAGAAGACTTATAAATTTTTATTAACATTTGAATATTCCAAAGTTTCACTCCCTATGTGCATCTACATTTGAAATTATCATTTAACTGCACATATTAAGTGAGAGTTTGTGATACTTAAACAACTCATCTATTTCTATTAAGTCCTGTTCTACATGTTTTTAATTGTCTGGGATCTTTATTGGCATACAGAAGACCAGTGTCATCAACATACAGATATAACATGGACTGTAGTGGTAAATTGGATAATGAGCTCACATAAATCATATAGACCATTGTGGAACTCCAAATGCAATTGTCTTCTGCTGCGTTTAGCACATAGTTACATAGAACTTTGTGTATTCTGACACTTAAATAATCTCTCAACCAAACTAAAGCCATTACAGTTATTCCATATTGTTAAAACACTAAAATAAGTATGTTATGGTAAACTGTTTAGAAAGCTTTTTGCAAATCCAATGATACAAATACACAAAATATCCCTTTGTCCAATTTGGTGTATATATGTCTAATAGTAGCAACAGAGACTGTGCTGGCTTGAATCATGTCATTTATATCGACAGTTATATCTAGCACAATTAGGGAATTGTGCTTGATATAATTGCCTTTAATTTTTCAAAGTTCATTTATTCGAGCATACAACCTTATATCAATTTAAAACCATATTACCTGTTAAACCAGTAGCTGAATAAATCAAAATAAACCAAATTGTACAATTTGGTTATTTACATGTGATTACAAGATTTTTGACATGGTTGTTAAAAGGGATATTGGCCGAAAACTTTTAGGTTACACGAATACAAACTTGTTCAAAAAGAACGTAATTAAAAAAAAAGAAAGAAAACTGAACAATAATACTTAAATAAAATGAAGTAAAATATAGATTTACAAGGAAATCACAAGAACAGCAATTCCTATGCTTAAAACATCTTCATAGAATTCCATAATTTTTAATCAATCAACGCCAATGAACCAACATACTACAACCATTGTTTAAAAAAGAACAATTCTTTTTTAAACAATGCTACAACAGTAACTACTATAATTTATATTATACTACAATATTTCAGTCACAAACACAAAAGGAAGTTGAAGAGATATATGTGAACATTAACTGTCATAAATAAAAAAGCTACTTATTCATAATATTGAAAATTCTACTAGCTGGATGTGCTCTTGGTAGCTAAAACCAGAAATATAAAATTTTTGAGTTGTTATCGAATGTGATAATGTTCTTCTAGGGATATGATTATTCTTAATTATATTATGAAATAATAATAGTAACGATTAAATGATATATCAATTAAATTGGAAACGTACTTACCTAGTAGGTCTTTGTACATCTTAATCATGGCATCATAATTCTTTAACCTGAAATGTACCTTTACTAGTTGTTTTAAAGCTTTGAAGCCCCATTCTCCTTTATGTTCACCTTGCAATTCTAGTACTTTCTGAAAGGCATTTACCGACTTTTCTATTTGTTCTTCCTTCAAATTTTTTGCCAAATAGTACTGATTTTCTAAATCCACATCAGGTTCTGATGTACTTTCTTCGGAATATTCGTAATCATAATCATTTTCGTTTTCGTAAAAAAAGTCGTCGTCCATATTTCGAAAAAATTGTTAAATGAAATGTTTAAATGTTACTGTTATTGCCAAATATCATTTGTTTACATTGATCAGACACTAAATATTTTGTTGACAATGACAACCAAAAAAAATTCAAATGACATACGTTTGCAACGCTCACTACCGGTGACTATGAACAACTGTGAAATCACGAAAACTGTAGTGATCTGTGCTAAAAGTTTGCAGACTTGTTTTTACCTGATCCACGCGGCGAGTCTGCTATGCTGAGTCATCTGAGTGTGGGTAAAGGTTATAGTCCAGGAATAGATGTTATTAATTATTGTTAAGTAGGGTGACCATAATTTTTCAACAAAGAAAAAAGTAGGTACATTTATAATTTTTAAGAAAATATGTACACTGCTAGTGCCCTAAGAAATTTTTCTGGTCAAAATTTTACGAATCTTTAATGAAACAATGATAAGAACGGCTTTTTTAATCAAACATAGGTACATAAAAAAGGTATGATAAATTTTAATAGTTAATTTTCTTTCGACGTTCCTTTCTAAACATCTTGATCATCATTTTGGTGCCAGTCGTACTTTTTGGAATTATGAATTTCCTTCAGAAGTTGAGGTTTACTCTGTAATGCCGGGTCCAGACCAAACAGACAAAACAAAAACATTCATGTTTCGCGACAAAGTGGCGACAAATCGAAAACATTTGTTGAGGCATTTCTGAACAATTTTGTTTTGTTTGCAAATTTGAAAACTTTTTCAGGTCCCGTTTCAAGTCGGTAAAGATCAAAAAGTCTGTGTTTTGTCTGTGTATTTGACGACAAGTTGTCGGCGCAGTGTGGACGCGTGTGCGTGCCAAAACGAGTTAAGCAGTAGGAGAAATATAATGTATAATTTTTATCAAAATTAAGTGTATTTTTCTGTTACTTAGTCTCAACATAAATGTTCACTCAACTCCATCCAATTCCAACCCAAAACATTTGTACTCAAATCCACCCGGCACTGACACACAACATTCATACTCAAATCCTCCCAGCATTGACACACGTTCATACTCAACTCCTCCCAGCATTGACACACATTTATACTCAAATCCACCCAGCATTGAACTTTTATACTCAAATTCACCCAACACGCAACATTCATACTCAAATCCACCCAGTGCTGACCCAAAAAATTATTACTTAAATCCACCAAACACCAACACACAACCTTTATTTTCACATACACCTAGTATTGACACAGAGCTTTCTCAGTATTCAGATCAAGAAAACGATCGAAATTGATGATGAACTTTTTGAATGTAAAAATAAGTAGACTCGTCATTATTTTGCATGTAGTATGTATCTATCGTCATCTCTTTTGTATTAAATATTTATCCAATAAATATGGAGTTTATTTTAAGGGATATTAACAGAAAAATAGTAATGAAAAACGTTTAACATACCTTTACATAACCACTAAGACTGTCAATTAAAGCTTTACATACTTCAGATATTATTACAGATATTGATTGATTTGATACTTTTGAAAGATACATTAGGCTGTGGTAGGAATCACTCATAGCATTTCTAAAGTTAGTATGTCTTTTTGCAACTGCAGGACCAACAAGGCTTATTAGATTCTCAAAATCTTCGGTGGGCATTCTTAAAAAATTTTTGAAGCTTGATCGAATTTCACCACTTAGTCCAATATTATCTGCTCGCAGTTGAACTAACAATTTGTCTATCGAACAACTTTCTCGCATTTTTAGGCTTGGTCTAATCCAAAAACGTTTGGGTTGTCTTTTAGCAACCTGGGATGATGATGAGAGCAAAAAAAACTTGCGGCTAGCAATAAATTTTCAGTTTCATTTTTTTCTTGATAAAACGCCACATGGTTAATCAACACTAATCACAACAACAACGTCACCAACTGAATTTGTTTTTATATTTTGTTGTTCTGGTGTGGACAGTTTGTCTCAATTTTGTTTTGTCTTTTGACGACAAATTTTGTCGCCGGTTTATCGGGTTTTTGTTTTAGAATTGTGTTTTCGTTTTGTCTGCTTGGTCTGGACCCGGCATAAGAACTGAAACATTTCATTACACGAAACTTTGAAGTTTGTGTAGACTTGCATGATGGCTTCCAGAGTAGATATTTTTAACTGCGATTTGCTAGGAGTCCAATAGTTATTGATATTTGAGAATAACCGCTCAATCGACGCACTGGTCCCGGCAGACAAAAAACAAACACATAGAATTTTGAGATTTTTCAAAGCCCTTTCTTTTTGGAAGATTTCGAGCCATCGATCTTCGGTAGAAATATTTTTCGAATTCCAGTCTGTGATTTTATTTTCTGTAACGTGGGTTCGTATTAGACTAACTCCATCAAACAGTTTGTCGTGATTCAATATCGGACCTATGTAGTCTTTGAAAGCCTCACAGGACAATAAAATTTCAGTCCAAGAAACTTGTTTTTTCAATTTAATTAGGTTATCCAAATAGCTTTAGTTCACTTAATATGTTACACAATTTGAATAGAACTGCTTGACATGCGTGATAAAGATATCCCGATAGTTCACACTAAGGTCAAGGTCTTCCATATTTTCAAGTTTTGAAAGGGACTCTCTTACTTTAAGCGGTAAAAATAACTTATTTAAGCGATTTGAAGCTTATTTATGAGTTCGAAATACTCCAAAGCGGCTTCCGTTATGCATATTTTGTCACCTTCTACATATAAAATCACTTTGTGGAAGGGAGACGCAATGTTATGCACAAACCACACTCATGTTTCACTGATTAGATTTTGAAAAAACTATTTTAGAACTGTTGGACAATTATCAATCGACAAAAAATATGCTCTAAAGGGTTCCAACATTTGTATAATTGGCTGGCTAAATGGCTGGCATTAGGCTCAAAAATCTTGTTTTTGAAAACGACAACATTTTTTGTACTCGATATCAACAAAATCGCAAAACTGTTTTAATTTTTCCACTCTGACTGTAAAAATATAGAAATACTTAAAAATCTTGACCGCAATAACCTCAATGTCTATGGGTAAGACGACCGTCGCATTTTGTAAACAGTTATTAAGGCTGTTTTATCGGTGCACCAAAATTTTTTCTCTGTTATTTACCGACGAAATGTCTCGAAATTTGAACATGTTATACGAAATTATGTTGCCTTTAAACTGATGGTTTTACTTTTTTTATTTTTTTGAATTTTCTGTTGAAAAATTGGATTATACTGTTTAACGTTCTATTATAACCAAACTTTTTACGCCCATCAGTTGAAAGAGTTTTTTTTTCTGTAATCGTTGATTTTTTTTTCACCTTTCTGTGTCCAGTAATAATCGAGAAAAGCGTATTCAAACTTTGAAGAAAATTGCTAAAAAATACTGAAATCTAATAGTGAAACGTGTTCCTCATCATTGTCGCTTCACTATAGATTTCATATTAGGAAGTCACGTAGGGTCTGACGTAAGCAGTTTAGAAAAGTAAGTGATACGCCCACTTCAAATCGCAATATGCTTTAGCTGCGAAAACAGCCTTAACAATGTGTGCCACACAACCAATTCCAATCACTTACCACGAGAAGCATTTAATTTGCTGAATAGATTATTCACTCTTTTTTTCTCATTCCACCAAAATTTGTATTTGTATTATTAGCAGACATTCAGATGAATTTTTGTAGTAAATTATGGTGGTTCAAAACATTGACCACGTAATCTTTTAACTGCTCTGATGTTTCACCAGGTAAGTCACGTAGCTGAAGTAATTTTACTTGGACACCATTTTCTCCATCAAAATATCTTACCATTAAGGGCACAACTTTAATTTCTCTATGATTCGACGAATCAATTGTGATGCTGACGAAATTTGCTTTTCGAAGGTCAATTTCTAATTGGGATTGAGCCTCTTGAGCTGAAACATTTTTTACAATCGCCTCAGTCTTGGTTCTAGCTGCCGCAAATTTAGGTTCAAACATGCTTACAATTAGTTTTGACGTGTAGTCTAAGGATCTGAAACTTTGCAAATGCTTAATTTTATGCTAAGCAAAAGTACCTTCCTTGGCAGCAATCAACATATTTTCAGAACTTAAATTTTCTTTTTTAACAAAGGTTTCCAATTTGCTGCTCTTCGAGTTCGCATTAGTAGCCAACATGTATTTTTTCTTTTACAAATGTTGTTTGATATTACTGCGACTATTGTTAGAAATATCAACATCACTTTTACAAACTTGGCAAAACACAATATGCGGTGAAACGTTTGATTTTTGTTTCATAAAAGGATACTCTGCTTGCAACTCGACGTTAAAATGGCATTTTCTTTTAACATGACATGATGAAATTGTTTATTTTTCCACACAACACAAAATAATATAAAAAACGAGAAAAAGTGTCGGAATTTAGACAACAGGTTAATAGACTAATTAACAGTGAGCGCATCAATTCGGATCATAATTATATTTTGTTTGGACAAAAAGTAGGACTTAATTTTGTGTAATTAAGAAAAAGAGTACATTTAGGTGTACTTCATAAATTTTAAAGTACAATAGGACAGCGTTTGAAAAGAAAGTACTGTCCTACTAAAAAAAGCACATATGGTCACCCTAATTATTAAGATACATTTATACTTAGTCAAACCCTCGACGAATTTTATCAGAGATTATTCCACTTCTTATGGAATTTTCATGGTTCATCGATAACTGTATCATTTTTAATGGATTTGTTGAATTTAAAAAAGTTTATTCTTGAACGTGGTTGAAGATCTTCATGATTGCAGATTTCAACTATTTCAAAGTCGTCGTTACAGAGTTTTAATTTTGTACTTTCAGATGCAAAAGTAGAATACCTACCTTTAACAGAGACTGATGTAGAAATAAAAATACCTATGTCTATGTCGATGAGAGACTCCTCTAAGCTGTGGGATATTTTAGAATTTGACACATTTCAAGAAGGGATTATGATAATCTTGTTGTTGACAAAGTATTTTGACATTGGTGAAATCGATACTATGTATAAGTTAAGATAGCATATTATGCAAGGGCACAAGATGGTTTAGAGATCCTAATGTCGCTTTTATGGGACGTTAGTCGACCTTGAAGGTAGCGCCTGGTCTGGCCAATGTAGCAGGAGTTGCACTCTGCACAGAGTATAT